AAAATACTCAGATTAATACTCAATCTACATTTTGTTCATATTTTAACAACAAAAAAGTTCTTATCAATCTAGCAAATATATGAATCGTACTAGCATTTTAGTAAACGTTTCCCAAATTGTTCCACAGTTTGATTCCTTGGAAGGAAGTGCATCTCTTCTTAAAATTTGTTCTAATTTTTGGTTTAATAAACATTTCAATTCCTTTCAAATTATATATGCTATCTCCTTTAAAAAATATTATCATGCTGAACAGTAAATATTATATTAACAAAACAGATAGTAACTAAAAACTCTAGATGTTTAGGCTGTGTGACAAATACAAAATATTTCTAATATTTCTAAGTGTAATTTTTAAGAGTGAATAATGCAACATGAAAAACAGATATTATTTATTATATAATTGTGATAAATGTGAAAGAAGATACAGAAACCTTGTTTTCAGTGGTTTTTATACTTCTGATTATGAAATTTAACCATTTCTTTCACTTATTTAGTTATTGAAAACAAAACTATTTCTTTAGTGCAAGTTTCTTGTTAGGCAGTAAACTGCTAGAGTATTTTGGTCTCACATGAGCCAGGCCTCAGTATCTGCAGAGTGACAATGAGTTTGATACACTTTCTGAACCAGGGGTAAAAAAGTGTGTAGATCACAGGGTTTAGACAGGAATTTAAATAGAATGAAAAAATTGTATAAACATTTGATGATGCATRGACCAYGTCACTCACAGCAAAAAAGACACAGTAATATGGACAAAAACATAATAAAAACACAAATACAAGAACACCAAGAGTCCTGGCTGCTTTCAACTCAGATTTCTTTGTTTTTAAAATACCRGATTTKTGGAGTGCAGCAGCTGTGYTGMGAGAGCGCATAGCACGAGCCTGAGACACAACCACCACAAATACTCTCATATACAGAACTATGATAACAGTAACWGGACATATAAAGGTCARAAMTAGGTCAAAAGTYKCTYRYATATAGTTCATTACWACTTTACATTCCCCAAAGCAGGACCTACTCCTGCCAGGTTGAATCAGCTCATCTTTCATGTAAAAAKYGKRGCAGGAAGCAGCACTGATCCAACACAGACAAATACAGCATTTSACTTTTYCCAGAGTGATTCTGGTGGGATAATGTAGAGGGTCACAAATAGCTATGTAGCGATCAATTGATACAAAAACAATGTTTCCTACTGATGTAGAAATAATTTGACACATCATATAATACAATAAAACACATGTAATATCTCCAAGTAACCAACAGGATGAACTTCTAAAYATTTCTAAAGGCATAAGAAAAACACCAACAAGGAAGTCTGAAACTGCCAWAGARAAGAGGATGATGTTAGTGGGTGTGTGGAGTTGCCTGAAAAGAGAAAAACAMAAATAAATTATTCATAAAGAACAAATAATCAGTGTTAATAAGTTCTACTATCATATCATACMGTATAAACTATATTCMGTTTTGTAATTATTCTCTGCCTGAAATGGGAGACTGAGATGATGACGAYGAGYTTGAGAGCTGCAGTGATCAGACAGATAAAYGACAGCACAGAGTTCAGGAGCACAGCTTTAGACCAGTGAAGTGTTGGCTTCCTGCAGGAGCTGTTGASCTGTGGAAAGCAGAGATCGTCTTTGTTCTGGAGCATCATTTCAGACAGCTACAGCTCTCTGGCCCAGYTTGTGTTYTACAGCAGATCTTTTATTATTACTTCCTCTCTGYGCTTTGAGTCTCTGTGGAATAATTTTGACACTCCTACTTTACCTCACGAGTTTTACTTCAAAAATAATTTTATTAGTTTTTATTTTTCTATGAACATCCCAGCAACTTTTTAAAGTTGTTTTCAAAATTGGCCAACAACTCTAAATAATTATTGAAACTTTAATATGAATACAATGATATTAGTGGCCAAGTCAGTAATTTACTTTGGAAACTACGACAAAAGCATTTTCAGCTTGGAGAAAAGCCTAGCACATTATAAACAAAAGAACTAATAGTGCTTAAGCTACAATAGCATCCAACTTGGGYCCAGAAAGCCACAGGTTTGACTTCCCGCCATGCCCACATGTCATGGTGTCCTTGAGCAAGACACCCAATTCCCAACTTCTCCCTGGGCATTTACATAGCTGCCAGAGTGAGCTGATTTTAACCTGGTTGCTAAAAAGCAAGCTAAACATCATACTATTTTAGTAGCAGCATTCTCTTTGAGGGTTCCAGTTGGTTCCAGTTATTTACAGATAGGATTATAACTTAGTAACTAGTTAATTGAGTAATAAAAGAACTTCTAGTTGCTATAATTTTTGTTTAATGAACCATTTATATATATTAAGGAAGCCTGGAGATGCTTTGACCTTGTTTAATTACAGCTTTGTGTTAAACAAATTCTATAAAAACAGTTAATTTATTTAATCAAATAAGCTTTCAGTTAAAAGTTAAAATCAATAAAAGTCAAATTAGCATAAACAATTTAAA